CGACACAAATAGGTTGCAAGTGAAAGGGTGGGGAAAAAAAAATACTCCATACAAATAATAACGAGAAGAGATCTGGGGTGGCGGTGTTAATATTAGGCAGAGTAGACTTTAAGACAAAATCTGTTAGAAGAGATGATGGACATTATATAGTAATAAAAGGGTCAATTCAGCCAAAAGATTTAACAATCAAATATATATGCACCAATGTCAAAGCACCTAGATATAAAAAACAAACACTGATAAAATTGAGGGGAGAAACAGATAACACTGCAATAATAGTTGGAGACTTCATTACACCACTTTCAATATTGAGTAGAACATCTAGAAAGATTAACAGAGAAACAAAGGACCTGAATGACACCATAACCAACTAGGCTTAACAGACATATATAGAACACCCAAAAACACAATATGCATTGTACTCCAGTGCACATGGATAGACAACATGAGAGGTCAAAACACAAGTCTCGATAAATCTAAGAAGATTGAAATCATACAAAGTATTTTTCTCGGACCACAGCGGAGTGAAGCTAGAAATCAATAACAGTGAAAAAAAAAAAGAAAAATACACACACATATGGAAAATAAAGAACACAATATTAAACTACCAATGGGTCAAGGAGGAAATCAGAAGAGAAATCACATATTGCTTAGAGTCAAATGAAAATGGAAACACAACATACCAAAACTTAAGAGCTGCATCAAAGATAGTAATCATAGGGAAACTTAAAGCAATAAAAGCCTACATGTAAAAAAGAAGACAGATCTCCAGTCAACAGCCTATCTGTACAATTTGAAGAACTAGAAAGAGAAGCACAAACTAAGCCTAAACCTACCAGAAGAAAATAACAAGGACCAGAGCAGAAATAAATGAAATCAAAAACAATAGAGAGAATCACCAAAACCAGAAGTTGATTCTTTGAAAGGACAAGCCTTCAGCTGGACTAACAAAGAAAAAAAGAGAAAAGATACAAATAACCAAAATAAAAAATGAAAATGAAACATTACAACTGACCTGATAGAAATAAACACATTTATGACAGCATACTATGAACAACTGTATGCCAGCAAACTGGTTAACCTAGGTGAAATGGACAAATACCTATAAGCATGCAACCTACCCAAACTGACTCAAGAGGAAATAGAAAGTATCAACAGAAATTGAGTCACTGATCAAAAACCTCCCAACGAAAAAAAAGTCCTGGACCAGATGGCTTCCCTGGAGTATTTTACCAAACGTTTAGAGAAGAATTGACACTGATCCTGTTTAAGGTCTTCCAAAAGATAGAGAAGGAAGAAATACTACCTGAATCATTCTAAGAAGGAAACATAACCCTGATACCAAGAGCAGACAAAGATACCACAAGAAAACTACAGGCCAATATGTCTTAGAATATAGATGCAGAAAATACTAGCGAACAGAATCCAACAGTATATTAAAAGAGTTATACCCCATGACCATGTGGAATTTATTCCAGGAATATAAGGGTGGTTCAACATTAGAAAATCAATCAATGCAATATACCACATCAATAGAACAAAGGAAAAGAACCACATGATCATCTCTATGGATACAGAAAAAACAGTTGATAAAATTCAACACATTTTATTGTTGAAAACCCTCCAGAAAATTGCAATAGAAGGGAAGTTCTTCAGTGTGATTCAGGGCATGTATGAAAAGCCAACAATGAACATTATACTTCATGGAGAAATATTGAGAGCTTTCCCCTTGAGATCAGGAACAAGACAAGTGTGCCCACTCTACCAATTCTATTCAATATTGTATTAGAAGTCCTAGCCAGAGTAATAAGACAAGAAAGATTAATAAAAGGTATCTTAATCATCTAGTGGTGCTATAACAGAAATGCCACAAGTGGATGGCTTTAACAAAGAGAAATTTATTCTGTCACAGTCTAGTAGGCTAGAAGTCCAAACTCAGAGTGCCAGCTCCAGGGGAAGGCTTTCTCTTCCTGTTGGCTTTGGGGGAAGGTCCTTGTCATCAGTCTTCCCCTGGTCTAGGAGCTTCTTAGGCACAGGGACCCTGGGTCCAAAGGATGCACTCATCTTCCAGTGCTGCTTTCTTGGTGGTGTGAGGTCCCCATGTTTCTCTGCTTGCTTCTCTCTTTTATATCTCAAAAGAGATTGACTTAAGACACAAACTAATCTTGTGGAGTCCTGCCTCAATAACATAACTGCCGCAAATCCCACCTGATTAACACCATAAAGATAGAATTTACAACACACAGGAAAATCACATCAGATGACAAAAGGTGGACAATCACACAATACTGGGAATCATGGACTAGCCAGGTTGACACACATTTTTTGGGGTGGGGGGGGACACAATTCTATCCATAACAGAAGGTTCCCAGATTGGAAAAGAAGTAAAATTATCTCTATCAGATAATTGATAATTGATGATATGATTCTATATATAGAGTATCTTAAAGAGTATCTAAAAAAGATTCTAGAGCAAAGTTGCAGGTTACAAAGTCAACAAACAAAAATCAGTTGGGTTTCTATACACCAGCAACAAGAAATCTGAAAGGTAAATTAGAGAATCAGTTTCATTTACAATAGCATCTAAGAGAATAAAATACCTAGGAATAAATTTTGCCTGGGAAGTAAAAGACTTATACAATGAAAATTATAAAACATTGCTGGAAGAGATTAAGACTTAAATAAAAGAAAAGATGTTCTGTGCTCATGGATTAGAAGACTTAATATTGTTAAGATGTCAGTACTACCCAAAGCAATCTATAGATTCAACACAATCATGATCAAAATTCCAACTGCCTTCTCTGCAGAAATGGAAAAAACAATCCTCAATTTTATACTGAATGGCAAGAGGCCTCATAGGAAAAGCAATTTTGAAAGAGAAGAACAAAATAGGAGGACTCATACTTCCTGATTTTAAAACATATTATACAGCTACAGTAGTCAAAACAGGCTGGTACCAGTATAACAATAGACACATAGACCAATGGAATAGAGTTGAGAGTCCAGAAATAAACTCACACATCTATAGTCAACTGATTTTTCACAAGGGTGCTAAGTCCATTCAATAGGGAAAGAAGCGTCTCCTTGATACATTGTGTTTGGAAAATTGGATTTCCAAAAAATGAAACAGGATCCATGCCTCACACTGTACAGAAAAACAAACTCAAAATGGATCAAAGACCTAAATGTGAAAACTGGATCTATAAAATTCTTACAAGAAAACACAGGGACAACTTGTTTACTTCTTATGTTGTGCCCACTGGTTTGTTATGTAGTGCCTGAGGTCTTAAAAGCTTGCAAGTGGACATCCCAGATACAACAGTTGGTCTCTGTTCACCTGGACCAACAGAGGAAGGAGCCAGGAATAAAACAAACAAAAAAAATCCCATTGCCGTTGAGTTGATTCTGACTCATAGTCACCCTATAGGACAGAGTAGCACTGCCCTATAGGGTTTCCAAGGCTGTCATCTTTATGGAAGCAGAATAGAAGGAGAAAATGGAATATGTAGCTGAATGCCTCCATAAGCAACTACCTCCTTTGCCATGAGACCAGTAGAACTGGATGGTACCTGGCTACCATTGCTGAATGTTTTGATCAAAGATTCTATAGTAGAATCCTGATCAAAAGGGGGGAAATGCAGAACATAATTTCAAATGCTCATGGAATGCAAACTTTCTGGAACCATGGAGGCTGAGTGAACCCCTGAAACTGTTACCCTGGGAGAATCTTTAAACCTTAAACCAAAAATATCCCATGGAGTCTTTTGAGCACAGCAACTCGAAAGTTTAGATAGACTTAGGAGGTAGTGAATTTATGCTAATGGGGGAGCAACAACTTGAAAAAGGAGTGTGAAAATGATTGCACAACTTGAAGAATATAATCAGTGTCACTGAATTGTACATGTAAAAATTAATGAATTGGTGTACGTTCTACTGTGTATATTCTGAGCAGCAATAATAATAAAATAAATTATTGAAAGCAGAAAGGATTCTAATTGGGAAATAAGACTAGCAAAGTTGGTTTGTACAGTAGTGTGGAGGCCCTTGAATACAAACCAAAATGACTGAATTCTGTTTGTTGAAATCTTGTAGGCGAGGAATGAACTTGATAAATATTTCATTATTTTGAGAATTGAAGTTATTCTAAGGACTGATCCAAGCCATGAATTACAACATAAGTCACCTTATTCTAGTATGTTCTGAATTAACAACTCTGTTAAGAGTTTGAGAACCAAGATAAAGGATTTCCAGATCTTTGTATGGAAAAATTGCTCATTAAAAATTGCCCTTAAAGCTGAAATAGAACTTTTTTAAAAATTAAAAATATTTGTGCTTCTAATGACGCTATCAAGAACGTTTAAAACAACCTATAGAGTGGGAGAAAACATTTGCAAATCATTTATCTGATAAGGACCTGGTGTTTCTTAACTCAGTAATTAAAAGACAACTCAAAAAATGGACAAAATACTTCAGTAGATATTTTTCAAAAGAAAATAATGTAAGTGACCAATAAGCTCTTGAAAAGATGATCAACATCATTAGTCATCATGGAAATGCAAATCAAAACCATAGTGAGATACCACTTTACACCTGCCATGATGACTGTAATTGGATGGACAATAACTAGTGTTAGTGAGGATATGGAGAAATTGGAGCCCTCATGTCGTGTGTTACTTGTGGAAATTTAAATTGGCGCAGTCACTATGGAAAAAAATCTAACAGTTCCTCAGGAAGTTTCCATTTGACCCTCCAATTCCACTCCTAGGAGAACTGAAATGAAGAGAAATGAAAACATATGTCTGCACAAGAACTTGTACACCAGTGTTCATGTTGTTATCCATTATTCATCATTATTCATGTTCTGTTTTCCTACAAATTTAGTCTCTTCACTTCAAGGTTATGAGCAATAGAAAGTATCTATAAGTGATAAGAGAATGTTTGGATAGTACAGCTAGGAATGCATGGTTTGGATTTTAATATTTTTAAATCTTTTTTTCCAGTGGTGAATTACGTCTGGGCCATGAGAAGGAACCTGCCTTTGGGGATTATATGGCTGTGGCACGAGGAAGCAAAGATCACAACATTCGTGCTCAAGAAACAGAGAGTGGACTTTCAGAAGAAATTCAAGTAAAGTGCTTGATTGACCAGGCAACAGACCCCAATATCCTTGGCAGAACTTGGGGAGGATGGGAGCCTTGGATGTGAGGTCTGTGAGAGTCTGCAGATACATTAAACCATTAAATTGTTTAAAGAATCTTCCGAACTTTCATGTACACCAGTCAATGAGCTGGTTGTCAAATTGGCTTTCGTTTTTTGTTGTTTTTCTTTTCTTCAGACATTTATATTTGGAAGCTTGTGTGTGATTTTGGGCAATAAATGATCTTAAGAATATGGAACACTAAAGTTTTGTTCTTAAAGGTCAACATTAAAGTTAAAAAAAATCAGTGTATAGTATTTTTATGCAGTTTCAAGGGCAGAGTGTTCATCTTACAAAATAATTTGTTATATTGCTTGCCAAATTTATTCTAATACAGGTTGAGTGCATTATGGTGTAAAAAATAAGTGATCCTGTATGTGAACAACCAGTATACACATCCTAAATATTTTTTACCATAGCGTAAAAACAATCAAAACAAGCCTACTTTGGAGTTGAGTTGATTATAATATATTGTTTTCTCTAACTACTAATTAACCATAATTTTCCACTTGAGTTCTGACAGTGCAGGCTGTGTTCATTAACTTGATCACCCATATTATGGGAAACTTTGTTCTTTAATGACTACTTTTCATATAAATGGAGCCCTGGTTGATCAGTGGTTAAAGAGCTTAGCTGCTAACCAGAAGGTCGGTAGTTTGAATCCACCAGCCACTCCTTGGAGACCCTATGGGGCATTTCTACTCTGTTCTGTAGGGTTGCTATGAGTCGGAATCGACTCAACAGTAACAGGTTTGGTTTGTTTGGTTTTTTCATATAAATAAGTTTCTTGTTACAGATTGACTGTGTATATGAGTCCAATATCAAAGCTGTCTGCTTGAAACTTCCATCATAACTTATGAGAAAGCAATAAAAAAAAAAACTATTATTGTATACAGCATTCATAAGACATTTGTACAATTACTCTAGATGGTAAGTTGTCCTCTTTACACGCTTAACAACTCCATGTCTGACTGGGGCCCAAACTTCAACCCTCTGATTTTGCTGAGTAAGGACTTTTGGTTTGGAAACCTGGAATTCAAACAAGATAGCTTTATTGATTGTAAATGCAAGGAAGTGTGAAGAATATTAAGAATATTTTTATTAATCATTTTATTAAATTAAGTATTTTAATTTTTTTTTTAAAGTAGAAGTCAGATACATTTTCAGAAATGGAAGGGTACAAAGACAATTTTTTTCCCAGAAGTAAGACACGTAGAACTATTTTCTTCAAAGCATATGAAACTATACACCCTAGAGGAATATAACAGTGTGTCTTGAACAGACTGTTAATAACCCTGTCCACTAAGAAAGGTGAGACAGGCCTGAAAGAGATGGGCAAAGCTTTAGTAAAACAAATTTTATATGCCCCATGTACTACTGGATGTATGTATGATTGTTCAGTGCAGCTATTTTTTTTTTTAATTTTTACAAATAGAATATGAACGGTAATACTTACATTATAAACTGATTTTGACATTATACTCGTTGCATATAAAACCAACATTTTTAACCGCAAAATGCTCAGATTTGAACTCTTATCATAAATCCATGCTTATGAATATTAATTTGGGTATTTTATCCAACTAAAAACAAGTATACCATCAGCTCCTTTAGGAGAAGAGTTATTTCACTGATCACTGTCTTAGCACCTACAACAGTGCGCGGCACATAGCAGACAATCACCATGATAAAGTAACAGGAAAAATACTAAAGACAAAGTTTTTAACTATTCCTAAGATAAATAACTGTTTAGTGACCTAAGAGAATTTTTTTTAGAGAATTTTTGGAGTCGAAATTGACTTGAAAGCAACAGGTATTCATTAACTAATGTCCAGTAACTTCTGCCAATATGTATATTTTTTTTTTCAAAATATATTTTTTAAAACTTTGAAATATTGTCTTTATATTAAAATGAAAGCACGTTCTTCATTCTGCTGCTCAGACTGGATAATTTCAGCTGTCCTGTCTTCGATTTCACTGATTCTTTCTGCTGCTTTCTCAAATCTGCTGTTGAACCCCTCTCGCGAATGTTTTTATTTCAGTTATGTACTTTTCAGTTCCAGAATTTCTATTTGGTTTCTATTATAATTTTTGTGTCTTTATTAATATTCTTATTTTCTTCATACATCATTTTCCTGGTTTCCTTTATTTCTTTGTCCATGGCTTCCTGCAGCTCCTTAAGCATTTTTAAGGTACTTTATTTAAAGTCTTTGTTTAGTAAGTCCAATGTCTAGACTTCCTCAGGGGTGGTTTCTATCAATTTTTTTCCTGTGAATGGGCTATAGTTTCCTGTTTTATTTTGGTTTTTGTTTTTGTACACTTCTTTGTTGAAAACGGGACATGTTGAATGTTGTAACTCTGGACATCCGATACTACCCCATACCCAGGATTTGGTGTTCCTGATTTTTGAGGGATGCAGACATTTGGTGACTTTTCAGGCTATTTTTACAAATACGGTATTCCTTGTCATAAGTGGTCACAGAAGTCTGTGTTCCACTACTTCATTGGTCAGCCAGTGACCTGACAGATTTCCTTAAATGCCTGGAGCAAAAAAAAAAAGAAGGAATTAAACTACTATTCTCAGTCTTTACAGCTTGGCTCTAAGCCGGGTCTCTCTTTCACTGCTAAGCCAGACCACCTGTAGCTCTGCCTTAGCCAATACTACCTGCTTTTGTGGAGCCCACAGATTAACTAGAGTGCAAGCCTAGAGTCCTCTCAGGTCTTTTCTGAGCATGCTTCTGGTCTTGAGCATGCATGTTGCACTCAGTTTTCCCCAGTATATGCAGTGGACTTTCCAAGTCATTACTCCCTCAAAAATGTCTCAGCTTTCTTGGGCTTTTTGATCTGTCTGCTGCTTGCCATGCCTTGCCCTAGGAGGGCATGAACAGTTGTCTGTAAATCTCTCAACAGACACCATCACCACCTGTAAAGTTGCTCCAGCCCAAGGGGTGGGGGAATAAAGGTCAGCCATTATGCCAATCCTCACAGAACCACCAGGCAGATCAAAACCCATGACCACAGTATTTTAATAACAAGCTCTGTGTTAGCACCCTGGCTCAAGAAAGCTGCACCAGAAACGGGCTGCTGTTACTGTGCTAGGAAATGAGAAAATGGTACCCTGGTTGGTGAAAATGCCACAGTGCTCTCTTTCTATTATTCAGCTGCCTTTTTCTTCATGAATGAGTACTATGATTGCTTTAAGTTTTGGATTAGATTTCAGAGTTCTGAAAATGTTGATTCTGTCTGTCTCTGCTAGCTTATGGTTGTTTCAGTGGAGGGACTGATTCTTTGAGCACCCTACTCCTCCATTTCCTGTAATGAAGAAAATGAACAGAGCCTAAGGAACCTGTGGGACACCATCAAGAGTACCAACATGCGCATACGGAAACCTTAGAGGGAGAAAAAGAGAAAGGGGCATAAATAATAGTTGATGAACAACGGCCATAAACTTACTGAATTTGATGAAAGACAAATTTTCAAGAAGCTCAGTGATCTCGTGGTAAATTCAGAGACATTTAAAAAAAAAAAAAAAAACTTGAAAGTCAAGACGAGGAAGGAATCTGGTAAGCAGCAAGAGAAAAGTGACTCATTGCTAACAATCCTCCATAAGATTAACAGCCAATTTCTCATCAGCAACTGTGGAGGCCAGAAAACGGATGGCATATTTAATCTGCTGAATGAAAAACTGTGAACCAGGAATTCTGTATCTAGCAAAACTATCCTTCAAAGGTGAAGGAGAAATTAAGATATTCCCAGATAAACAAAAGCTGAGGGAGTTTGTTGCTGGTAGACCTGTCTTATAAGAAATATTAAACGGGGTCCTTCAGGCTGAAACAAATTAACAGTAAATAGTATGTCAAAGCCATATGAAGAAATAAGGAACTCCAGTAAAGGTAAATACATAGGTAAATATAAAAGCTGATATTATTGTATATTTGGTTTGTATCTCTATTTTCTACATGATATGAGACAAAAGTATTTTAAAAATGTATCTACATTAATGGACACAATGTATCATGTAATTTGTGAAAACAACATAAGGGGAGGGTGAAACTGTAGGAGCAGTTTTTGTATGTTATTTAAGCTAAATTGGTATTAATTTAAACTGGGTTTTTATAAATTTAAAATGTTAATAGAAATCCCCTGGGTAACCACTAAGAAAATAAATATTTTCAGAGAAGAAAATCAAAATGGTTCACAAGAATAAATCTGTTAAACACAAAATTCAGTAGTAGAGAAATTGAGCAACAAAAAATATATGACATACAGAAAACAAACAGCAAAATAGCAGAAGTCTTATGAGTAATTACTTTGAATGTAAATGGATTAAATGTGGCAATTAAAAGGCAGAGACTGGCAAAATAGATTTAAAACCCTGGCCCAACTATATGCTGTCTACAAAAGACTTAGATTCAACAAAACAAATAGTTTGAAAGTAAAAGGATGAAAAAAGATATTCTGTGCAAATAGAAGAGAGCTAGGGTGTGTTGGTAATTGCTATGGCATATATAATTTTGAAAGAACAGCAAAAACAACCAAAAAATATATGTGAGGGTGTTACAGATTGAATTGCACCCTCTAGAAACGTGTTGTGAATCCTAACCTCTATGCCTGTGGTTATAATCCCATTTGGGAATGGGTTGTCTTTGTTACATTAATGAGACTGGATTAGTATAGGGTGTGTCTTAATCTCTTGAGGTAGAAAAGAGATTAAACAAGCAAAAGCAGTAGAGAAGGGGGAAGATAGATTCTAAGCCACATGAAGATCACCCAGGAACAGAAGCTCAAAACAGACAAAGACCAGAGCCAACAGAGAAAGTCTTCTCCTGCAGCTGACACCCTAAATTTAAACTCCAAGCCTACTAAACTGTGAGAAAGTAAATTTCTGTTTCTTAAAGCCACCCACTTGTGGTATTTCTGTTATAGCAGCACTGGATACCTAAGACAGCGGGTATAGATGTACGTATGTAGGCATATTTGTGTATAGATATATATATGTGTGTGTATATAGGAGTATGTGTATATGTATATGCATCTATGTGGCTGTATGCACATATGTTCATATGTAATAAAGCACATAGGGGGCACAGTTAGGAATACTTCTTAGACATAACCAAACACCTTGTGGGATTGGATTTCTGGGATTTCAAGGATTAGGACCAGCGGTGCAATGAGTTACTTAATATGGCCCTTCTACCCATGGTTTTAGTGACTCACACAATGATTGAGAGGGACTATGCAAATAAGGTGTTTGGAACCTGTGATGGGTGGGGTTATGTGTCAACTTGGCTAGGCCATGATTCCCAGTATTGTATGATTGTCCTCCATTTTTTGATCTGATGTAATTATCCTCCATTTTGTGATGTGTTGTGAATCCTAGCCTCTATGCCTGTGGTTGTGTTAATGAGGCAGGATTAGAGATGTATCTTGATTCATCACCTTACTAGAGGGTGTGACTCAAGTCATAACCCTTACCCCAGTCACTATCCTTACTAAAGGGTGTGATTCAAGCCACCACCTTCTCAAGTAGAGGGAGTTTCCTTGAGGGTATGGTCTGCATCAAATGGATGTGAATGCTTTGGGGAAGTTCTCTCTCTCTTACTCTGGATCCCGCATCCAATTCATGATCATCTGACCTCTAGTTCTTGGAGCTTAAGTCAGCAGCCTGCTCTCCTGCTGATTCTGGAATTCATCAGCTTCCGCAGCCTGTTGAGCCAGCAGCCTATTGGCTGACCTGATTTGCCAGCTTCCACAGCCTTGTGAGCCACCAGCCTGTCATCTGACCTGCCAGTTAGGTTTCAACAGCCCCTGAAGCCGTGTGTGTTGGGAAAAGCCTTCAGCTTGACACCTGACTCACGGATTTGGACTTGCCAATCTCCACAACCACAAGAGGCTTTTCCTTGAGATACGGTTTGTGACTTATGTGAGAAGTTGCAGCGAATTATGGAATCCAAAGATGGGGGAGAGTACTGAGGGGAGGAAGAGTAGCTGATGTTAGAGATGATGGACTGGGACAGCAGTTTGGAAAAGTTGGACATTTGGGACATCTTTAATCTCCACCTCATAGGAATCAGCTTTGTGGTGATCCTTATAAAAGAAATTATTCATTCTGGACCACAGTCTCATGGGACATCTTGCTCAATTGGAGTGATGCATAAAGTTCGGTTCTACATCCTAGTTTGGTGAGTAGTGTCTGGGGCCTTAAAAGCTTGTGAGTGGCCATCTAAGATACAACTATTGGACTATTGGTCTCTACTCACCCAGAGCAAAAGAGAAAGAAGGAAACCAAAGACTCAAAGAAGAAACTAGTCTACAGGACAAATAGTCTAGTATGAACCACGGCCTTGTCTACCCTGAGACCAGAAGAACTATATAGTGCCTGGCTACCACTACTAACCATTCTAATCAGGGCCAAAATAGATGAACCCTGTTAGAATGGGAGAAAAATGTGGAATAGAACCTCAAATTCCTAAAAAAAAAAAAAAAAAAGACCTACTGGAGTGTCTGGGGTCTTAAAAGCCTGTGACCGGCCATCTAAGATACTCCACTGGTCTCATCCCTTCAGGAGCAGGGGAGAGTGAAGAGAACAGGATACCAGGAAAAGATTAGTCTGAAGAACTAATGGTCCACAGCTACCAAGGCCTCCACCGGACCGAGTCCAGTACAGCCAGATGGTGCCTGGCTAACACCACTGACTGCTCTGACCAGGATCACAACAGAGGGTTCTGGACAGAGCTGCAGAAGGATGTAGAACATAATTCTAACTCACAAAAAGACCAGATTTACTGGCCTAAAGGAGACCAGAGAAACCCCGAGAGTATGGCCCCCAGACACCCTTTTATCTTAGTGGTGAAGTTATCTCCGAGGTTCACCGTTCAGCCTGGGAGTGGACAGCCCTGTAAAACCAAATGGGACTAATGAGGTACAGTAGTCCAGTGACAAGGGCCAGAAGGCAGAAGGGGACAAGGAAGCTGGTGATAGGAAACTCAAGGTTGTAAGTAAGGATATTGTTGATGTGAGATTGTTAACCATTGTCATAGGGCAACATGTGTACTGTTCAATGAGAAACTATTTTGTTCTGTAAGCCTTCATCTTAAGTGAGAATAGCTGCACAATTGGAAGAGCATAATCGATGTCACTGAACTGTGCATGTAGTAATTTTTGAAATGGTGTATCTTTGGCTATGTGTATTTTCACCAAAAAAAAAAAAGGTTGAGAAGTTAGAGGGTTGACATGTTGTGGGGTTGTTAACCAATGTCATAAAACAATATGTGTACTACTGTTTCATGAGAAACTATTCTGTAAGCCTTCACCTGAAGTACAATAAAAAAAAAAAAAGAAGACCTACTGGACCGGTTGAGACTGCAGGACTCTCCAAGTTTATTGCCCTGAGATCCTTTTCAAACCTTGAACTGAAACTAATCCCTGAGGTCACCTTGTAGCTAGATAAAAAATTGGCTCAAAAAATATCACTCATAAGTACTATGCTCCTTTAAAAAATTACCTATATGAGACCAGATGCTCAACAATCACTTTAAAACAAAGATGAGAATGTAAGGGGGCAGGGAAACTAGATTAATGGAAATGGAATAACCAGAATAGAAATAATGAGAATGTTCACGCATTGTGAAGAGTGCAACCAATATCACTGAACAACTTGTGTAGTAGAAATTGTTGAATGGGAACCTAAAGTGCTGTGTAAACCTTCGCCAAAAACAGAATAAAATATTACTTTAAAAAAAAAAAAGGCAGAAAGCACAAACTGAAATTGGGACTGCTGATGTGGATGTTGGGGATTGTAGAGAAAAACTTTAACGCTGTTTCAAGTTATAACAGAGAGGCTTATTAAAGGTTTAAAACAATTGCAATTGGGGAACTACATAGCCCATTGAAAATGGAACCAGGCAGTCCCAGGATAGTTTCATTATACAAGTATTCTTATGGGGCGAAAAGAGAAACCAAAACCATAGGAAGGGCAATTTCAGGAAAACCAATGAATATTGTAATAATCACGCTCTGATTGGTTCTGATTATTAATAGTATAGCTAGTGATTACAGATAGTTTCACAGGATGCTTAGATCAAGGTCACAGGATAGTTACATGTATTTTGCTATCTTGCAAAAATATCTTGTTGGCAACAGCACCCAGACAGCACTCTTCCTGATGTATATTTTGAGGGATGTAGATGGTCACTTGGTTAAGACCCTCGGGGCTTATGTTTTCACATCCTGGTTTTGACCACCAAGGAAAAACATGTTTTTCTCAAAAAACGTTGTTAGTCTAGAAATCCAGATTAAAATTAGATAGTATGGTTAGCATATTATGCCTCTGTCTCGCTGACTGCACTGAAAGTTGTCTTTTCCTGAGACAAGATAGAACACTGAATATTGCTGAGACTTGATTTTAACAGCCACACAATGGCCTTGAGGAACAATAGGAGTTGAAAATGAGACCCTGGCATAAAGTTGCATCCCTCTCTT